CAGTCAGCGCTGGAGAGGGGAGAAGGGAATCCCTGAGGCCTTGTTCACACCGAGCGCGTTTCAGGAGCGGAGCAAAACTGCGTCCAATGTATTCCAATGGTATTTTTATATCCCAATTCACACCGCGGCGTTCCAGTCCAGAGCAGGTAAAAAAAAACTGCATCAGGCCCTATTTTACCTGCTCTGGAAAGCATGCAAACGCATCAAAAACGCATGCAAACGCCCTGGAACACACTGAAAGCCCATTAACTAAAAAAAAACAAAAACGGCCCGAAACACATCAAAAAAGCAGCACAAACCACTGCGCTGCGTGTGCAGAAACTCGTGCAGATCTGGTGTGCATTTGGTGTGAACCCGGCCTGACTGACGGTGACCGCTCTCTGCAGGGAGAAGATCGGGAGCTGAGTGATCAGCGGTATGTGATTGCTCGGTTCTCGATCTATAGAGCCGTCATCGGATGCAGTGTCACACGTCGGCTCTGACCATTGGGATGAATGCATTTCACTCTCCCCATAGTTCTCCTTTAATAATAAACCAGGGATGCACCGATATATCAGCCGCCGAAAATGGCACTTTTGGCATAATGCCAATGTTTTTCGGCCGATACATCGGCGCATCCCTGGTTTCTTTTCTCCCCGCTGGCCGCTGCTCTGTGTTCCAGCGGGGAGGAGAGAAAGTGTGACGGCCGAGCACTGCGGGACGAGAGCACTGTGAGCGGCCGGCGTCTCTCCTGCCACACCGCTCAGCCGCCTATCACAGTCCGGCAGAGCGGTGTGGGGGCGGAGACAGCGCTGTCACAGGAGGATGGGCTTTCCTCTCTACTCCGCTCGATCAGCCTCCTGTGTCAGCGCGTCAGAGAGGAGAGCGGGTGATCAGTGATCGCTGAGTGTGTGTACATATTAAAAATATTTAATAAAAAAATGAATTAATAAATATAAAAAATTAAATATTTTAAAAAAATAAAAATAAGAAACATTTTCGGCCTGACATTTTTTTTCGTTTCGGTTTTAAAATGTCCATTTCGGTGCACCTCTATAATAAACCGCTCACTCCGGACTCATCACATTTGGTGTGGGGCCCTTAGGTCTTTGTACAGGACTCCCCTCGAGGGCGCTTTGTTATGTGGGCGCGGCCTCACCAGTGCGATTCGGCTTCGTACGTTCTCCACATTGCCACTCTGAACATCATTTGACGATTCTCTCCATTCGCAGAGACGCCCCTCCGCTGCTCCCCAGCGACACCACTCAGGGCTACCGAACGGTGAAAGCCAAGCTGGGCTGTAAGAAGGTGCGGCCGTGGAAGTGGATGCCGTTTACGAACCCGGCCAGGAAAGACGGAGCCATCTTCTACCACTGGAGGCGGGCGTCGGAGGAGGGGAAGGACTACCCCTTTGCCAGGTTTCATAAAGTATGTAAATGAATCCTTCTGTCTGTCTTTTGGCCGTGGCGGCTCGCTGCTTCTTTACTTTGCCGTGCTGAGGGAGCAAATCTGACATTGGAGCCGTCGCTGGCCTCTGTCTTATAGATGATGTATAGGGGTTCTGCACCCGGAGGGGGATTTATCAAAACTGGAGCAGACACAATCTGGAGCAGTTGCCCATGGCAACCAATCAGCTTCTGTCTTTCATTTTGAAAGCTTACCTGACTAACTCAAGATAGAAGCTGATTGGTTGCTATGGGCAACTGCTCCAGATTGTGTCTGCTCCAGTTTTGATAAATCCCCCCTCCAATGTATCAAGGTCAGAGAAGAAATCAAATATAGAGAGTGAGCGAGCGCAGATCATGAATAAATGGTCGCTGGTACAATCGCAGATACAAGAAACACAGAGAGTGTTGAGGATGGTGCAGGCTCAGGGAAAGAGACCAGGTGTCGGTGTTGTCACTTTCGGGGTCAGGCATATCGCTGTGACTGTGGGTGAACACCTGAACACCTCGTACTTCTGGGCCCTCCAGGTAGGTGACGGCACTGGAGGATAATGGGTTCCTGGTAGCTCCTAAGGCCACACCCCCCTCATTACACATCACCTGATATGCTGACATCCAATAAGACTTGACGTTTATACAGCTTGGAGTTGGACAATAGGCATATAAACTAGGGCTGGTAATGATTACAATTTTCCTGTTCGATGAATCACATTTTTTTTAAATCGATTAATCAACTAATTTCGATTAATTATAACGCACATACAGAGGGGGGTCTCACCAGAGCTTTGAGGGGGCCTCACCAGGGTAGCAGGGCTCTGTGGGGTCTAACCAGCCTTGTTAGAACAACAAGAGGGCGCAAAACTAGGTCTGCTGACTGCCTGGACCGAACATATCAGGGAAGGTGACAGGAACAATAAATATATATGTATAATGTACTTACTTATGTGGATCTGGGAACCAGATGTGAACCGGCCTGTGAGGAGGATCAGGATGTCCAGAATGTATGTTGAATGGCGGCAGCCTCAGGCAATATATCAGTCGCCATTCAACATACATTCTGGACATCCTGATCCTCCTCAC